TTAATACGATTGTAGTACCGGCTCAGAGCTTTCAATACCCTTACATTGTAAAAAAAACTGCTTAAGATTTTGATACATTTTGGAACACAATTTTAACAATATTATTATATACTTTGACGTTTGTTTAAAAATTTCAATTGAAAGTTCTATATAAATGTTAGTTTTTAACAAACGTTGTTACCACATCATTAAAAACATAGCATTTTTATGGTGCAGTTTAAGAAAAAAATTTAATAACTTCAGCACTTTATTGCTGAAAATATATGCTAGTTTATTTAATTGGTTATTTCTGGCAATATTCATATGACATGTAGAAGAAAAGCGTAATCGATTTTTTCGTTACCCAATTTACTTTTATTTTACGTATCCATTACGTATAGAATGCATTTGGGAAATGTGTATAATGTCAAGAACTTTTGGAATGTGATACTTTCCAAAGTTTATGTCGTAAGGGCATTATTGAAGTCACTGATTGTTATGTAAAGTGTAAACTGACGAAACAATAGAAATAGTGTGAATGCCAATAATTACTCCAACTCTGGCTATTAATATCGAAAGGAATTTCGGAATTACATTTCATAGTAGTTTATTAAAATTAATAGTGTTATAAATGAATTTATTTAATTAAGATTTAAAATTCGAAATCCCGGTTTTATCATATAATAAACACTTAAGAGTTATTAAAATTTCCAAAGTGACATGCTTCATAAGTATTTCCGGTAATATAGGTATTTATTATATAATGTGTTCAAAATCATAAATAATTTTTTTTTTCAGTACACACACTTTCTATACGTAAATAAAGAATTTAAAAGTATTGACTTTGCTTACTGATAAAAAAAAAAAAATTTATGAAATCAAATTGAAAAAAAATTTATGAAAATTATTATTATAAGCATATAGTTAAAAAATTAAAATTTATAAAAATTCGATTAACCTAAATTGATAACATTTCATATGTTTAAATACAAAGTCCTTTCCTGGCCCCACTATCTTTACTATCTCCCGTAACTCAATAGTCAAATGAAAAATTTTTTTTTTATGCTAGCAAATAAAAAATATTCTTAGATCATAATTAAAAAACAAAAATTAGTCATTCAGAAACGATTGTGTAATTAAAACACTGATAAAATATTAAAAATGATTAAAATATTATTGTGAATCATTTTAAACAAATTAAATAAATTGAAAATTGTATTTCTATAAACATAAACAGGGTGTGTTCGAATAAATTGGCAAATAATTTTAGGAATGATTCTTTGATCAATTTCCAGTAAACAATTGCATGGGCGGAGGTGGCAGATATACTCGTTTTCGAGCTACAGTCTGTTGAAAAAAAAGATACCAGATTTTTTCTGTGTATAAATAAATTGTTATAACTTCGAAATCCCGGGAAATATAGTATTTAACGGGACTTGCTTCACAGGCAATTAATTTTTCTTTATTTTTAGTCTGACAATCAATTTTATATAAGTCACAGTTTTCTAGATAGAGCTCCTCGAAATTAAAATTTTTGTTTATTTTTGTTTTTTTAAATTTTTACAATTTTTGGAGCTGAAAATTGATCAAAGATTTATCCCAGAAATTATGAGAAACAGCCTGTATATAATCAGATATGTATGAAGGCATGTGATGTTGTATTAACAAATATCATTGATTAATTAAAATAATTTTTTTTTCAATTTCCTGTAATTAAAATAAATTATGTACTTATAAAAACTATGTACTGATAAAATAAAGTGAAACAAGAATGGGAAGTCCCCTAAAAATTCGTACATTAATAAAATAAAATAATAATTTCTATAGGAAAATAGTTCTGGTATATTCGAAAATTAGGATTAAAAAAAAATTATAAAATTTTTTTTAATTAAATGATTAGAAAATTATTTTATTAAGATCCAAATGATATTGTGAATATATTTTGTGACATACTTATATGAAAATGATAATTGTAAAATTTAATTAAAAAATTTAAAATAATTTAAATGGCAATTAATTTTAAATGGAATCAACAACAACGATATGTGCTAAATATAAGGAGAACTCCATATAAAAGGAACATCTTTACTTCTAGACGGAAATTTTTTTGTAAGTATATAAAGGCTGTCTATAATACGAAAACTTGGTATTATCTATAAAATTTTCTGAAACTTATACGGAGTACTCGTTATATTAGGGACCACATATAGATAAAGTCAGGCATCATATAACAGTCTAGGAAAATCACTTTTCGAAAATCTAAATTGAGTCATTGTATCGAAGTCACGGTCTCGCTCTCTAGATTGTCGATACCCTCTTCATTGTTTCGCTTTCTATTTTTCCCATTCTCTGCAGAAAAATATGTTTTAGAGCACCAATTTCAATATTTTCTTAATACCTTCCTGATCAGCCTTAAATTTTCACAATCAAATGAAATATAACGCATATTAGAATATGTAACAAATATAATATCGAATTATGCCATACTCACTTAATCCTACCCTGGTTTTTAAAGAAAAAAGTGTAAGAAATTTTATTTTATCTTTTTTTTATTCCTCCCAGAATTAATCAAATTTTGATAACCAATTATCAAAAAAATTTTTTATATCAATCAAAAATTCTGTTATATATATACATTATCTGTTATACATAATATGACATGAATATAAATTATATTCAAATGTCAAGTACATTTTAATAAAGTTCGAAATAACATTTTAGACGCAATTAAATAATAAAAATTAAAACCGGTTAAGTAAAATCTATTAATCTTAAAATTTAATAAAAAAAAAATTTTTTTATTATAATTAATTTAAAGAACCTCAATTCAATTATCAAATTTTTTTTTATGTATATTAAATTCTTGGAAGTTTATCAATTCGAAGAGTACTTAGAGGGGCATACCTACATTGATGTGGGAGAAAACTAGTATGATGATTAAATCTGATTGTAAGTTATTTTTTAATTATAGAAAATTACTTCAAAATAATTTAGGTCTTATTTTAAGGTCTTATAAGTGAAATGATAAGAACAATAATATTGTATACGTGGGGTGAAAGGAGGTGTGACTGGAGTATGTCAAAGATAATGAAATTTTAACAATTACAAAAATAATGATTTCAAGATAATCAATAAATTTTGAAAGAAAAAAAAAAAAGTTTAAATAAAATAATTTATTTAAGATTACTAAGATTAGTCATAAATTTGTGGATAGATTAAGGTGCTTATTATGGGTTTACTGTTATAGATATATATGCAAATTTATATTGAAATTATTTTATTAAATTCGTATATCGTTAATCATTTTCTTAGAATTCTTCGTTCAAAAATATTACGTTTATTATTGACAAAAATAATAAAACGTAATTAACTGTAGACTAAAAAGTAAAATATCGTAATGATCTCAAAATAAAGCACAAATTTTGTGTTACCGTTACCTCGTTGCTAGGATATTAAGTATATATCGTAATATACCGTGCTATTATTCAAGCTAATAAATTCTGCAAGTGTCAATCTCTTAAGTGAATTATTTGTACAGTTGTACTGTGGTCTACATTTACTAGCCTTAGTAGAATTTAAATAAGGTTATAAGAGTTGAATGAACACAATATCGTATACTGAGAATATACGAAATTTTATCTAAATTAGATGTTTTTTATAAACATAATAGACACAATCCGAAAACCACACTAATTTTCACATAAATGCATTTCCTAACAGTTTTAGAAATATAGTATTGTCAAATTAGTTATACTTTTGATCCGTTTATGAAAATAATTTATCTAATTAATTTCTGAATAAGCTACAATAATTTTGTATATGTTTTTTAGCCAAATTTAAAACATTTTTTTAAGGAATTGAGGCATTTTTATAGCATATTACAAATAAAATAAATTATTTCTTATTGTTTGGTAATGTTTTGAATACAGATAAACTTGTGTCCATCAAAATATTTTTTAATTCAGTTAAATTTTATTTTTGAAAAACAAGAAAGTGGTTATTGTTAAAAGAACTATTTATATATCTTTATTACATTTTTTAATATATTTTTTATCCTACTTCGCTCCTGATAGCTAGCTTAGGGCTAGTGCATGAAATAATAGATAATTATGAACACATAGTTTCTTGCACGTCATTAAATTTACTAGGTAGATGACGAGCCTACCGTATTTTTACAACATTCATTATAAAAAAAATTCGATTGTCAATAAAATTGTTATACACGATTTCCTAATATAATTTCCATATAATCCATATAATTAGAAAAATTTTAGCTCGTTTGTAAGAGGTATATTGAAATAATGTTAATGTTATAAAAACGATAAAAAATTATTTCAACTTTGAGTAGAAATATTAATGTCTTTAAAATTGAGTAAATATTAAAGTCTTTAAAATTATTTATGAAGATTACTAAATTAATAATACAACGCTTAGTTGTTTAATTAATAAGTATATTGTGCCTATTATACTATAAATAATCAATTTATCGGAAATTTCTTCATACTTTTATAACTCATTTGGTAAATCATCCATCTTGAAACCGGTAGGTCATTGGTTCGAGTACAATTCGAAGAAAAAAAAATTTTTTCGTCTTAAACTCATTCATTTGATTATATCACCCATCTGTTCTACAATATTATATGAAAAAATTTCTATTGAGTTAATAACGTTTATAACAATTTTACGAGTAGATATCCGTATTTTTTTTTTTCAGTGTATACAAACACGTACCGTACATTATATGAAAATTGAGCCAATTTAACATAAAATTTAAATTATAATAAATGCATATCATGTAATTTAAAATAATTTCAAAAAAAAAAATTTCAAAAAAATTCCAGAATAGCAATAAATTCCAAGGACTGAACGAACATAATATCGTAATAATATCGTAACAATAATAATAATAATATAGAATTCAATAAATTCACTTTTTTAATTATATTTTTATTTCAAAAAATATTTTAAAACTTATTAAAAATTAAAAATAAATTTTGGAAAAAAAAAATGCAATTTCTTACATCGATTCGGTAATAAATGTGAACTAGTTTGATGTGAAGTTTTTAATAAATTTCTTTTAAAAGAATTATTATTATCTTCAGTTCGGCTACTGTTCCATCGTACTTCCGACATCACCATTTTTTCAATATTAATTTTTTAATTTTCTGTTCTTTTTTTTTTTTTTTTTTTAAATTTTCAATTCATTAATAAAATAATTTTTTATTTTTTATATAAATTATAAATTTGTAATTAAAAATATATTTACGTTATTATTAATTATTTTATATACACATATGAGTCACTTAAAAAAATTATGAATTTAAATTTAAATTTTGTAAAATATTAGGAAAAATAAAAATTATTTTAATTATTTTTTATAATTTGCTGCTGATTATAGTTTGTGTGTTTTTGTTTTTTATTAAAATTCCCGTAAAAATGTTTTTTTCTCTCTCTCTTATTTTAATAATTTTCACTTTATTAATTTTAAATATTCAAAATATTTTTTTTTTTTTTAATATTCAAATTATGAAGTTTTTTTTTTTGCATATATTATGGTTCTTATATATAAAACTGTTATGTGCTTTGCATATACAGGCTATAACTATGGTTTAAATGTTATCAGTGTCGTGTTTCATATGAAACTAAAAAATTCAAATTTAAAATACCGATAGGATACCTTTTCCGACACAGGGTAACCAAAATCATATTATAATATTCAGATAAAAATTTTTACATAGTAAAAAAGCAGATTTCAAATAATGAAAGCAAAAAAAAAACAAGAAGAAAAGAGAAAAAATTACAAAAATTTCTTGTTATTTTTTTATTGCTGCCGTCTTCTTTTTATTTTTTTAACAAATTTTTGAATAAAAAAATCAAAGAGAATAAAAAAACAAAAATTCACGTATCCTTTTTTTTTCTCTCTTTTTACGTTTTTATTATTATTTTTTTTTACTATTTATGTACATACGTTTATTATTGCTTTGTGTAATCGAACTTTACTGTCCACCATAAATTTTAAAAGTAAGTACGAAAAATGTAAAAAATTTTTTTATTATAAAAAATAAAAAAAAAAAATATCAAAGGCGGATTACACTCGCAAAATTACAAAATATTTTTTATATATTTTTTTTTATTTTTAACAAAAAACAAAAAATTCTTTTCTTTCTTAGCTTATATTTTATGTGTGCACACGTATATGTCGTATTATACTCTGAGCTAAAAAATAAGGATGCAAAAAGGAATATATGAAAAAATTTTTTTTTGTTTAACTTCAAAAAAAAAAAAGCAGAGAAAAAAACTTATCAAAAATCATTGAATAAAAACGAAGACAACAATAAAAAAATAAGAATATGAAAATGAGTAAACAAAAATAGAATTTCGAAAAAAAAATTTTATGTTCCACAAAATCAAATTTTAATACCCATATACATACAATTATAATAACACTGTAGAACGTAGATAATGTAATAATATAATATACTTAATATAAGTGCATGTGTGTGTATATAAAAATTTATTCAAAAAAAATAATATTCTACTAGTTTTTCGCCCTTCTTTGCATATATATTTATGTATAAAAAAATTTTAGCATACCATGAGAATTATTATGGCATTCATTTACATGACATTTTATTTTTCCACACAATAAGAATACTATTACAAAATGCTTTTTAAACACAAGCATACAATTCAAATTTTATACAAATACTGTCATAAAGGTAACAGTATAATATAAACAGTAAAATGTTAAATAGAATAACAAGAAAAATAATAAATAAAAAATAATAAAAATATTCTTTTGATCTCTCTGTTCTACTGTGCTCTTCTACTTACTTCATTTTCTATTCTGATTTCTCAATAACAATAAATTACTCAATATAATAACAAAATATGTATATGTATATGTATAAAGGTATGTAAACATATTGATATCACAACAAATGACACACACACAAATACTCACTAAAAAATTTTTTATTTAATTGAGGGGAAGAACAGAATAAAAATATAATGAAAAGAGATGAAACTACGAGAGTAGCATATAAATTGCAAGAATTACAAAAAAAAAAAAAAATTTAAAGAGAAATTCTCTTTATATCTCAATTTTTCAATTGATTCCAATATGGAATGGATTTAAAAATTCCAATTGAATATCTCATTTTTCATTTAAAGAAAACATAAAAGAGAAAATATGTAAACTAAATAAAATGAAATCCACATTGTTGATTTTATATACATTTTTTTTTAATCAGTTCTCTCTTTGATTTGAAATTTTACGAGTATATAAAATTGAGGGGAAAATTTTGAATTTTCTATTAATTTATTTATCATCTATTTCCATTTTCTTTTTCACATTCATTCATATAGGTAATGTATGGGTTAGTTTATATAATATTGGTTTTTATTTTGTGGAATGTGATTTGTGGATTGACTTTATTTTTCATTACTCCATCAATTTCGCATTTTCAATAAAATTATAATACTGTTACTGTTAGGATATTGAAAGAGTTAAATTTTTTTTTATTTATTAAAATAATTTGGAGAGAAAATGTGGAATCTAATTTTTAATTTAAAAATTTTTGAAAAAAAAATAAACAAATTGTTGAAGAACTTTCTCTGCTGTGGAATGGTTTTAATTGAAGATTACTTTTGAAAAATAAGAATAAAATGTTAAACATAATATTAGAATTTGAATTCGAATTCGAAGCTACGGCAACTAGTATTACAAATAGTTTTACGTATGTATATTTTCTAAATTTATTTCAGTTAGCAACACTATGAATGTAAATTCCACTATACAACATTTGTCATAATGAAACTTATGCATGTTGGAACAAAACTTATGCAATAGATTTTCACGTTTGAATGAACACGAAATCATCACATTTGCAATGATTCGGTTTGCAAATTTTTTAAATGCTACATTAAATTCGTCTGTTTTATCTCTTCTTCTCTTTTAGATTCCACATTTAAAATTTTATAAAATAAAATAAAATACTTTAAAAAAGCAACGGTTACTGTTGCGTATTGTTTTCTTATGTGACCGGTTTTATTTTCTTATTTTGTTGCTTAGATGAAATTTTGAGAGTTTTGGAGCAACTACTGTTTGAGCGAAATCGCAATTTCAATTTCTTTCAATTCTCATTTTAAAACGAAAAAAAACAAACGAAGTCATTCTTTACTTTTTTTTTATTTCATTTTTTATTCATTCAACATGAGTGGGTGTGGCTATAAAAATTGTACGTTTTTTTTTTAAATTTTTTATTGCTATTTTAAAATTAATTCATTTTTTTTTCCTTTTATTTTTAAAATTCTCTTGCATACACAAATTTCTTTAATTTAAAATTCGATTTTGTTTAGAAGGAGAGAATATGAGATGTGGAACGTAATATGATTTTAGCATAGAAAAGCAATAAAACTAAGAAAATAATAAAAAAGAAAACAGAAAAAACGATAAAATTGAGTTTGAAAAAAAAATAACAGTAAATTGTATATGGAAATTTTTTTTTTGTTATAAAAGATGAAGAGCAACAGAGACATGAAGTAAGTGTGAAAGAAAGAGAAAATATTTGTGGAGCTTATGGAATCGAATTGAATATTCTTTATGCAAATAATATGAACTAATATACATATAATATATAACTGTACATATTTCTCTCGAACAATATCTAACATAAATATACGTACATACATATGTATATACGTATACACATGTATACTTATATATAGAAATATATTTACAGAAAGAGACGGCGAAGGGAGAGAAGAAGAAATTCAGTGACTTACTATTTGCATTTACAATGTATATACAGAGAATTGTGAAAAATTAAAGAAGGAGCAATAAGGTGGAAGAGTTGAGTAATGTGCACTCGGAGAACGTAAAAAATATTGAATGCAAATGTTGCTTACATTAATGTTCATACAATTACGTATGCAAACGTAAATAGAATTAGAATGTTGCAAAAGATAAGAATGCTTTCAAAAACTTACATATAATTTTTTTTGTATGGCATTATAGTACCTGAAATCGTATACATTTGCGAGAATTACGTCACAAGCCCCAAATTAGAGTTACAAATTCGCTTTAATTATTTTTTTACTATATACATAAAAATAAGACTTTCTTGTCAATTAAATAATACATTTATTGTAGGATAGCACTATAGCGTTTAATAGCTTATGATTCCTTAATAATTCCATAAGTACCTTAAATGCTATATGGATAAAATTGAAGAATTCGATTTTTCGAGTTAGCTGGTTTGTTGTTTTTCTCAATGTAAACCATATTAGTACTTGTACATAGTAAAAATCATATTTATGTAGTATAGGTATGTATGTCACTAAGAAAGTATAATTTGAAAGTTCCTATATTATATTATGTACAGTATATTGGTATAACAGTAGCACTATCTAGCATAGTTAAAAGAAAAATTTCTCGTCCTTTTAGCATTGTGTACGCGAATCTGTACTTATAAATAAATTTGCACTTTTAATTAAAATATCATAAGATAGTAGGACATATTTTCCAAATCTACACAAAATAACACTTTTAATATTGTTATTTAAACACACAATTTTAATATGAATTATTGAGGTTATAATATTAATGTGGTGGATAAAATTACTATTAAAATGTGACCAAAATGGAAACACATAATAAATATCCACATATTTTCAAACCTACATACCCATAACATACAGTTATAAACAAAGTTAACAAAAAAAAGAGGACAATATACACTTTTGATATACAAATTAATATTATCCCATAATACTACTTCCTTGTATAACAAATATAAAATTGTATATTAAGATTTCATTTTTATTATTTTGTTTATTGTACTCGTGCGGGAGAACGAGATAATATAAAAATATGAAGAGAAAAACAAAAAAATAAAAGGGTTATTGAAATTGTTATTGTCATTATATTTTTATTATTATTGCTATTTTTTATATTGTTGATGGGTATATGATGGGTGTTATACATTATACTACTCTGTGATAATAATATAAGATTTGTTGTTGAAAATCTACTGTTGCAAAATATACTGTTAAGACAATCATATAAGATAATAATTCGTTGGTATTGTGGTGGAGATGAAAGTGATTATTAGGAGGGTGGATTCAATTATTACTGTTATTTATATTCATAATATTATATTTGTTATACATATTCGATCTA